CTTCTCCACACTGGGCAGGTCTCCCTCGCGAACAGTCGAGGTTGTTGGGAATGCTTCCTCGCTCAACCTGTTCATTGGAGGAACGATTTTGATCATAGCTCACCCTACCGCAGGCAAGGTGAAGCACACAATCCAGGACCCCAAGCATTGGAACATATCCCGATCGAGCCGAACACTTTTCTGTTGACGCAGTCGAATGGAGGCTCCTTGAGGGATAAACTTCAGCTCATTGCATCATTGGGACCCGGGCTTCACAGTTTTGCAGAGACGCACCTCACTGGGGTCAATTTCCCAAGTTTCAAGAGGACCTTGAAGCAGCTGGCCTCACAGCAGAATCGCCGAATTACTGCTATCAGTGGTTTCCATGCTCCTGCAAGGGACACACAGCATCAGGTTGGTTCATGGACGGGTGTACTCCAGATCTCCGACTTCCGCTCTTATGCACTCAAGTTGCCATGGCCTCAGGAGCACTGGATCACAGGACGTCTTCAGGATACGGCTACCCTACAGGTCCCACATGGGGGCCGCAAGCTCACTCTCTGACCAATGCACTTCTGAGCACGTTGACAAAGCAGATCGTGTATAGGGCGAGTGGACCAAGAGTTATTTGTGGTGATTTCAACTGCAATGGCATCTTGGAGCAGCAAAGACTCTGGCTTAGTCAAGGCTGGCACTGTGCGCAGGACTATGCGGTTAAGTACCTGGGGCACGAATGGACGCCTACAAGTGGTGCCACGTCAGCCGTGGATCAAGTATGGGTCTCTCCAGAAGCTGCTTTGCTTTTGAAGCGTGTTTCGATCTGCCAAGTTTTCAGAGGGCACGCCACTCTTGCTCTGCACTTCAGAGCAGAACCGGATCCTAAGCCGGTTCACTGTTGGCCTAGACCGTCGCTGCTGCCATGGGGCAACTTGAAAGGAACCTATGATCGACTGGCTGACCAGTTACCGGACCTGCCACCAGTTGATGCCACCAAGGCATATGCACAATGGGCCAAAAGCATAGAAGACAATTTTGAATCTGCCGCACATGCCGAAGCTCTTACACTTCCACCACAAGCCCGGGGCAGGGGACAAAGAACTTCGCCCCAGTCAGAGAACAGAGCTGGTGACTACCTGTCGTCGACCCCGTGAAGGAGAGCTCGAACTCAAGTACGATCTTGTTAGTTCGGCCGTACGACACTGGTATGTGCAAGGCAGAAGAATGCAGTCACTCCTCCATGCGCTTCGATCTTCCTCGTCCTCAACCAATCGCGAGGTCTACAAGATTGAAGTCTGGAGTGCCATCATCCGGGCCAAGGGTTTCCGGCCTGATTTCACGACATGGTGGAATGAGCGTGAACCACATTTGCCTGATACGCAGTTTGTACTCCCAGCTGGCTGCCCCTCTTCTGTTACCTTGGACCTCATCTTCCAGGAGTTCCAGGTTCACTTCAGATCTTTCGAGACCTGGCATGCCAAGCAGCGCTTTGAGCGCTATGAGACGCTGCACGACAAATCCGTCCAACAGCTGCACAAGGAGCTCAGAGGACAGAAGGCAGATAGTGTTCAACACTTCCACTTCGATGAAGCTTTTGAAGTTGTAGATACAGAACATGATTTGATTCGGCTCAACACGGAAGCGAGCATCTCGCCGCACAGTTGTTGGCTGCATGAAGATGAGTTAATTCATATGGACAATTTTGATCAAGGGCTCTTCCAACCCAGCAAACCACTTGCTATTGGAGAGGCTGTCATTTTGCGACATTTTGTTTCCAACACGGAAGGCATCTGCTCGAGGTTGACCAATCACTGGAGTAAAAGATGGTGTCAAATCTCAGAACAGTCACCTGAGCAGCTCAGCAAGGTGCTTGACTTTGCTAAAGCTTTTCTTCCTCGTTTGGATTTTCATCTGGCTCCGCTTACCATCTCAGACTGGAGAGAGGCCCTGGCCAGGATGAAGACAGCAGCTGCACGTGGGGCAGATGGCTTCAGCCGCTTGGATCTGCTTTCGTTATCGGAACGACACCTCCATTGGCTTGTACAGTTATTCAACGCCATTGAGGCCGAGGACACACAGTGGCCACAGCAAATGCTTACGGGACTGGTGACCTGCATCAGCAAGGTAGATGAGCCGCATTTGCCGGATCACTTCCGACCGATCCACTTGTTCACCGTGGCGCACCGTATTTGGGCCAGTATCAGGGTCCGCCAATTGCTGCGTAGTATACTTCCCTTTGTCCCGTCGGAGCTGCACGGATTTCTGCCGACCAAGGAGACATCCCAGGTCTGGTTTGAGATTCAAGGCTGGATAGAGTTGGCGCTTGCACAAGGCATTGATTGGCACGGGTGCTCGGCCGACATCCAGAAATGCTTTAACTGCATCGAGCGGCCGGCCTATTTTGTCCTTGCGTGAATTGTCTTTCTTTTGTGGACAACTTGGACTTCCACGGTGGTCAAGAAGAAGAAATCTGTCTGGCAGTTGAGGGCACACAACAGTGGTTCACCAGCTATGGGCTCGCTCTGGATACCAATAAGACCTTCTATTGGTCCACCAGCGCCAAAGTTCGCACACTTTGGCAAAGTCAGGGCCGCAAGATCTTCACGGACACCAAAGAACTTGGTGGGGCCATGACGATGTGCCGTTCCGTCCGGAATCGGGCGCTCAAAGCTCGCTCTGAAGGCTTGGAAACGAAATGGAAACAACTATCAAGATCAGTGGCCCCGACGCTGCATAAGATCCAGATTCTTGCTACAGTTTTCTGGCCTCTGGCTTTACATGGCGCTTCCGCATGTTTGCTGGCAGAAGGACACCTGACTATGCTCAGAAGGGCAGCCATTCGTGCTACTGGGCTTCATTGTGCCGGTGCAAATTCCTGGCTACGCTTTCTTTTGCTGGACAAGATGGTTCAAGATCCGAGTTTTTATCATCATAAGACGGCGGTTTTCACCTTCCGCAGGATGCTTCAGAAAGTGCCAGACCTGATCCATATGTGGAGGCTTCATTTTGGTCACTTCAACAGTCCTTTCCTTCCTGGTCCTTATACCAAGTTGCTCAACTTCTTTGGCTTGATTGGATGGACCGTGACCGCCTTGGATAGCTGACCACCATGGATGCCTGCACAATTTGTTGACTCAGGATAGGGGGCACCTGCAGGCCAGACTCGAAGATGCCTGGGCACAGTACGTCGCACGGCATGTCAAGCATGCACACATGAGCCAGCTGAACGGCTTAGAACTCGAGCTTACTCGCTTGGACCATTTCAAGCTCGAGCCTCGCGCTCGCTTACGTGTCTCGGCGATTCAGACAGGGGCCTTCATTTCCGCAAGTGAACAGAGTAAGTTTGATCCCACCAAATCTTTCCTGTGTCAAGTTTGTCAGGTCTCCGATGATAGGGTCCATTGGCACTGTTGCCCCAAATTTGCTTCATTGAGGGAAGAGCTTAAGTTTACTCCAGAGGTTTTTGCCGATTTGCCAGACTGCACTAAATATCATCTCTTGGTGCCGAAGCTCCCTGAATCCTTGAGACTCATGACATATCTGGAAAACATGCCGGATCGCACCTTGGATTATGATACATTTGAAATTGGAGCTGGTGGTATGCAGCACCTTTTCACCGATGGCGCATGCCGGCGAATTGGCGCACACACATTCCTGGCAGCATGGTCCGTACAGAATGCGACTTCAAGGATGCTGGTTGCGGCAGCACCACTGCATGGGGGCAAACAAACCGCCCACCGTGCAGAGCTTCAGGCGCTTTGCTCCGCAGTGGCTTGGGGAAATCAAGTCAACATGCCGATTTGCCTTTGGTCAGATTCGGCGAACAATGTGGACACCCTTGACCGGCTTATCCAGGGAGAGCTGTTACGGCTCCCCGAGAAGGAGCTTGACCTCTGGACCTTCATTGAGGCGGCGTTGGACAGGCGTCGGCACCTTGCCACCCAGGCCAGGTGGATCCCTTCGCACCTCTGCCCTTCCGAGTTAGAGGATGAATACGAAGTTTGGATTTCTCACTGGAATGACCGGGCGGACTATGCAGCTGTTCACACCAACATGAACCGGGACCCTCTCTGCTTGCAGTTGGCCAAAGACAAAGCCAGCCAATATGACTTTTTTGGTGCACGTTTGAAGCAGCTCCGGGATTTCTACCTTGCTGTCGCCGATACCAATGACACTGGCCCTTCTGGTCATCGGACTTCTGATGCTCCGGTAGTTAGAACGGTAGATGAAGAGCTTCTCACCGAACACCTTCCCATTGGCTGGATGGCCATGATTACCGGCATGCAGCTGCCGTACACATCGGCTTTTGCTCGCAGCCTGGTAGAGCAGTTCATTGAGTGGGAATCGCAGGACTGGTGTCCCTTTTGGGTTTCAGATGTTGAGATGATTTTTGTTTTAGCGGGCCTTGGTTTTGCCTTCCCAATTGACACCCCTGCAGGGCGTAGGCTGACGCCTTTCTTTGATTTGTTCGCCAAGCCTCCCATCACTCAGTTGCTTAAACCTTTGGGTTCCACTCTGGATGTTGTTTTGGGCGGTCTTGGGCTTCAGGGTTGGAGGCGGTCTGATTTTTCTGTTCTTGAAATCGGTATTCATAAGAAAGGCGGTGCCACGTTTGTGGGTCTTCCGGAGGAGCTGGCCACGAGTGCCAGGAAGGCCGTGAGACAGTTCACGCGCCGAAGACCTTTCCGGAATGTCCAAGACTTTTCACGCCCACTTCCTGCTCTTTAGACAGTCTTGGCCTCGAACGGTGGTCGCTCCGCGCCGCTTTGCTGCGCGAGGATCACGGGACGCGCGGTCCGATTCGTCTGCGATAATTGATTGGGATATATTGGGATGGATGGATGATGCATGTGGAGACCTCTACCATCCTCTACCCAGCCCCCTGCAAGAAAAGGGGAATCTACAAGACGCCATTGGTCATTGATGCACCACCCAAAGAGTGCTGCGGCCGAACCGGTCACCGGTCTGTGCGAAGTGTTCTGCACCGCCCCACCGCGGTTTGGGTCCAAGCAGGTCAGCTTGGCTGCTTGAGATGGAGACCAAAGCTTGGTGAGGACGCGCTGCAAGGCACCGCCCTGGTGAGGACTCCTCGGTTTGTGCGAATGGCGTGCGGAGATGCTTACAGTGTCACAAGTGAGCGGGTATGATGCCATAAAACTGGAAAGGTCAGAGTGTGTTCAACATGTTTTCAACCCGTTTTTCTTGTCTTAAGTCTACTGGATGAAGATTTCAATCTCGATGTGAGGAAGAGGGGTCGTCGGTGATCGAATCTGGAGCCTCGTCTGGTGTGATTCGCCACCCAAAATGGATCGAAATAGATCAAGGTGCCTTACTACTAGTACCTTCTGCTACTAGTAGTAGTAAGGCACCTCATTGTTACTAGTAGTTTCTAGCTACTATGCTCTATTTACTTTCAACAAATAGACAAACTGATACTGAGTCACTGATAGTTCAAAAACATCGTTCAAGTCTGATCTACTTCAACTCTCTTTCTGCCGAGTTGCCTTACTAACCAATTTATTCAATAGATGACATCCTCATTAAGCCAACACATTTGCTGGATTTGAGGGCCAAACATCCGTCAGAGCCACCATTTTCCGAAGACACCCACTTCGGACATCCTCACAGGTCCAGTGCGAGTGCCACCAAGGCACGCTGAACTTTCGGACACCTGCAGGATGGGAGCGCAGGCAGTGAAAGAGCAAAACAACCGTTCGTTTTCAAGTTGATGGATACTGAAACCACGACCTGATACATATATTTATATTAGTCATTGGGATCCATTTCAAGTAAAGGTAGACAAACATATCTGACACATTCTGAAACCATCACCCAGTTATCCTTTAACACCATCCAAAACCTATTTTTTAAACGATCTAGGAGGGTGGATACTTTCAAAGTCGACCCTGGGCTGGTCCCATCTCAAATGAGTGCGCGGTCACATCATCCGGAGTTTGATCCTGGAAGGCTTGCTCTGCCTTTTTGCTGAGCCAGAGTAAGGCGCTTCGAATTTCACTCCCTTTTCTCAGGTGATGTTTTGAACATCATCCATGTACCGCTTGTCCTGTGCCAGAGTCTTCTGCTGGATGAAACCCACTTCGATTGGGCACCTGGTAGCTGTATACCTAAACCCTTCTCGCTGCCGAAGTCTGTCACAGGAGACGCTAGCGATCGCCACGACAGTTTCGACCGAGATCTCCTGAGATCGTCTGAACCACACCACCAGGTACACGTCAAGCTCTTTGACCAAAGAGTCTTGGCCCCAACTTCCGCAAATGGGGATGCAACGTCGAAAAAGAATGTCCAAACTTCCAAACACCCTTTTCAGTCGTCGACCTTGGAGGGAGCGCAGGCAGAGGGGCGGCTTCATGGGCGTCAAATGGTTTCATGCGGGGTCCACCTGCAACACAAGAGTTCAACCACAAGAGGAAACCGTGGCGCCTTCATTGTTCAGGTGAATCAAACTGTTCCGGTTCGTACACGCGATCTCAGCAAAACCCCATGGCGCTGGCCAAATCGGCACCGGCCAAAGCAGGTGCAAAATCCCAAATCGAATTTGATTGAATCCGAGGAGGCAAACACGGGTTTAAAATGTTTTTGGCCAGCAGGGTGCTGAAGATAGATTCCACACAGAAGACCCAGCAAGTACCTCAATCACGAAGATGTACGTACTCTAGTCATCCTCTGGTGTCACTGTTCACCTTCTACTCTCCAACACCCTGAAACGAATCGGACACGCTGGATATCTCCGAAACGCACACCGATTCTGCCTTTGAAAAGCGTCAGCAAACATAGCACATGCATATAATGTGTTTTACAACATCCCGACATGCAGAAGGCCCCAAGGCCATGCTGTGCATCCTTATTCTTCTTTCCTCTCCATGATCTCAAACATTTGGACTACAGCCTAAGCTGCCAAGTCTAACCTGTCTGGAAAGCAAGCAAAGGGATCATGATGATTGGCGAGAGGTATTTTAAGTTGCACATGCAGGATCAACTAGTCATTTCAGAACCTTTTGACTTGCCTCAATATAATTACCGCATACAGCATATAGAAGCTTCTTGCAAGCTTGCTGTGGAAAGAAGTCCATGCAAAAAGTCGTGGCATTTCTCATCAACATGTCTTGAACCTTATTTATTGCCGTGGATCAGCGTCTGCAAACGCTGAATCAAACCACAAAGGAACTCAGCCAGACTTAGAGCCCCAGGCCCATAGCCTTATCATTTATTCAGAGAATCAGTCAACTTGACATGTTGAACAAAGCGTATTGGACATTGATTCCATCTACGAGGGACCTCCATAAGAATTTTGGCATGCTCAACTTGAATAGATCTATATAACCACTCCTTGCCACGTCCAACAAGAACGCATCTTTAAAACATGTTTGTTGCAGCAGTTACATGCTTTCCTGCGCAAAGCACGCAAACAACAACAACAACAACAACAACAACAACAACAACAACAACAACAACAACAACAACAATTTGGTCTATGTTTTCATCCAGATTCTGGCGGCAGCTGTGCTGACCGAAGAAGGGAAGATTGCTGAGCGACTGAGACCGACCTCCATGAACCGAGGCTTGGAGTCGGTGGGCCGATGTCGCTTTTGTTACTAGTAGCGATGCACCTTGCTAGTAGCTTCTTGCTCCTAGTAGTAAGGCCAGGAGCCCCTAGTAGCGTCCTTCAGGACTTTAAGGGGGTTGCGGGTTCGGCTCAAAATGGCTCCTTTCCTTCGGACAAGGATCAGCATGGCCATGTGGACCGGCGCCAGCGCCACTCAATGCCACTCACTCTCAAAAAAATCAACATAATGAGCACTGTGAGAGTGCTAATCCCGTCGGGAGGACACTGAATTCGATTCTTGCAGGGGATCTTCTTGCAAAAAAAGGGTCTTCAAATTCAAGGCCAACTGTCAAAGAGATGAGGGCAACATCAAGTGTAGTTCCAAGATCCCCGTCCGCAAGCCTTCAGCTTAATTATGTGCCAGTGACTCCACGTAGATTGTTCCAGTACACCTTTCTTTGCATTTTTCCATGTCTTCCTAGGAAAACACAAGGCATGTCCTTTTGCCTCTCCTATGACTCTACGTCTTCGTCTCGCTCTTTTCAATCCGGCCGCCCTTTGGGTCGCTTCCCACTTCGACGGCTCAGGCCAACTGGGCCAAGCTCTGCCGCATGAGGGACTTGGGCGGCGGCCCATGCATGCCATGCCTCAAGTCCAGGCACGTTTGGATCTCCGCCTCGAGGGCATGGGAGCTCTGTACGGAGTCCGGGTGGAGTCGTCCGGGAGTCGTTCAGAGTTCAAACGCGGTGATGAGGATGTGATGAGGATGGTTTAGGGGATCAAGTGCCCACCATGGGCATCTTTTCGCAATGCGATCACGGCGTGGGAAAGCGTGGGGAGCTGACCCTAACGTGGGAAGCTGATTCTTTATGATCTTCCTTCGGAATGACCATGAAATGGACAACAGGCCTTGATTCCTGGAACAGTACACAGTCCACATTTTGAACCTGGCAGTCTGAGCCAAAAGGGTCATATAGGGTTCTTCGACAAAGAGAGTACAAAAAAGAAGGTAAGGGATGGCAAGGTCCCCCTTTAGTCTTTCACAGAAGCCCTTCAGGCAAAAGGATCGGAGCAAACACATGTATTTCTTGATCTGCAAACTTCGGAACTTCAAACTTCGGCATTTGGCACATGCTACTAGTAGCGATGCACGTATTTCTAGTAGCTTCTTGTTACTACTAGTATGGCACTTGTTACTAGTAGCGATGCAAACTTCGCTTTTTGAACACCAAACCGGGAAGCATGCTTAGTCCGGCATGGCATGAGGAAGACATCAAGTTCAGTATCGGACCTGGCTTTAACATCCAAAGCTGGTTCTTGAATCCTCACTCTTGGGCCATGGCGGCCATGGATAATCGGATAGAACGGCGAGGAGAAATTCACTATATATACAATTGTGGATCTGATCAACCAAAGCCAAAGTTGTCCAGTACAATGTCACTTCGCAAAACACACGCATCGACCTCGCGGTGTGGGTGGGAGACAGAAAGCGAACGCCAACTTAACTCTGAGAACACCCTCCCGACGCAGATGAACAAATCACGTCACCGGTAACGAGGGTTCTCGTTTTGTGCCTTAATGAAGTCCTGCAAATGCTCCATGTTGGCATTCAGCTCTTCCCGCATTTCCTGTGGCGTCACCGCTGTGTACATCGTCAAGCGATTTCCACACTGCATGCAACTTGAACCAGCGTATGCTCTCAGATGCCCGCAGTGAATAAAGAACTTTTCTGGCAGAAGTTGAGTTCATACGTATGTGTTCATCTGTGCCTTTGTTCCCTCTTTGCGGTGGGAAGAGAGTTCCAGAACAGCATTGAAATCGGTCATGAGTCATGACCAAATGACTGGTCCTCAGGTCATGACATGACAGATGTAATTCTTTTGAGCCTCAACATGGCCGTACAAACGAGCTGGACACCTGTCATCAACAAACCTTCCGCAACTGGCCTTGACCGCCCCAAACCCGGCCAGAAGCAAAGATTCTCTGCAACCATATCTTCACGCCAAGAAACATACGAACATGCAGAAACACACAAAATTACTTGTAACATCGTGCTCATCTCTCCAGCCCACCACCTCCACCTTCCTCCAACATGTTCCCTCATCAACACATGCGCTTGCAAAAGGAAAAAACACGTCGCCAAGGGCCGCCAAGGGACGGTCACCATGTTCTGCAAAGCCTTCGTTGAAAGCAGCGTTGCCACGGCATCGCTCTTCTTCACTTCCCCGCGGATCTGCAACAAACCCTGTCCGGACGACTGCCACCGGCTGCGACGGCTGGGTGCGGCCGCTACACTACACATGGGAACATCACCATATCAAATCAAACATGTATAGGAGCAAGGACGCTACTAGGGGCTCCTGGCCTTACTACTAGGAACAAGAAGCTACTAGTAGCAAAGGGCATCGCTACTAGGAGCAACGACGCTACTATTCAGTATCGTCACTGTGACTGGGTTGTTCACATCTTCAGATGGAGGTGCACACTGAGGGACTCTCAGACCATGAAACGGGATGGACGGTGTCAATTTTTTGAACCCGACTGAAAGCATGTGAAACAACAACAACAACAACAACAACAAGAACAAGAACAAGAACAAGGTAGAAACCAAAACAGCCACTCAACATAGTTGTAACTCTGAACTTCAACGGGACAAGGTTGGGGATACAGTTGAAGGTTTGAGGGAATGTTGGTTTCGTAAGTAGCTGGACTTGTTGGAATTTGCTGGTACTACTGGTCCTGCTACTACTGGTCCTCCTGTCCTACTACTGCGACTGCGACTACGACTACGGGGCAAAAAACAACCACGTGGCTGCAGTTTTTGTTTGTACCAACGACAACTAACACCAGGACCACGACGATCACACATTGACCATGTGAACTGTGCATCATCACAGACAAAAAGGGTGTAAAAAGTGTGACAAAAGTCAATCCACTCAATCCAATGTTGAATGCCTGTGCTGGCGCGTTTGTTTGGGTTGAGCAGGGTGCATGGAAATATCGCATTGAACAAATGCAGGATAACATCTTGAGACATGTTTCACTAGTAAGAATGTTTGCTATTGGGAACAAGTGCATCGCTAGTAGTAACAGGTGCCTTACTAGTAGTAACAAGAAGCTACTAGGAACACATTTATGATACCACCCCAAATGCCTACCTGTTGAGTGCTGATTGCAAGAGTTCTTGGCTCAATCTGCCCTTCTTTGAAAGATAAATTCCTGAAACACGTTGCCTCCTGCAATTAGACAAGCTTTAATGCCCAGGCTCCTCGTTAAGAAGATCTCATCCTTTGCTAGAACAATTTATATATCATTTTATGATCATATATGATACTATTAGCTTCAAACATCTTCTCAAACAATTGACATATCCAACACGATTTGGATCGTTTGCGGCGATTCCGCCCCTTGCACTTGCAATCACTACTGAGTTGCCATTGTTTCCTTTTGTCGACCTTCTGTCATTGCAAGCAGTAAACAGAAACAAAAAGACCTGGCAAAGGGCCTCTTGAACCTCTTGAGAGGTCAAGCATCACAGAACCTTTGGTTCGAAATGGCCACGGCGCCTGCACGAGCTCTGTGACGTGTAGAGTTCCACTGCCGTCCGCGTCAATGGCCTCCAGCGACGCGATGAGGCTTCAGGGTTCCGATCCGAGTCTCCACGACGCCTCAAAGAGATTGGCCCGGTCGGGAGGCAAATCCAGTTCATCCATCAAGCGCTGTACACAGCGATCTTGGATCACCAACAAGAAGAGCTCCTTGGTGATGGCCTCAGTGTTGAACACTAAACTCAAGCGGAAGCTTCAACAATAACAAGGACATGGCATACTTCCACTGTGGCTCTTTCCTTCTAAGCGACAATAAAAACCGACACCTGAAGGCCTGAAGGTAGTGCAATGATTGGCGTCAAAGCATCCAGAAGATTCCATTCAATCTGTCGCAATGAGCATCAAAGGAAAGGTTAATTTGCGAGAAGACCCGCATATTTTGGTGCTTCTTCGACACATCTCATCTGTCTGTTGTACTCTGAGCATTGCACAATCTGAGCATGGATGTCATTGTCTGTGAAAGGTGCAGCACCATGACTGAAGTCTAACTGCGGCATCTTATCCTCAGTGTTTGGCCACGGCCGTCAGCCATCTTTGGAAGGGTTGGGAGGCCATCGCTAGTTGTTGGAGGCCAACGCTAATAGGGTGGGGGGCATCGCTAGCAGGTTCCGGAAACTGCTTTACCCTTGCGCCCAACAAGCCGGTCTGGAGCGAAAAAACACGTGTCACAATGTGAAGCGGAAGCGGCCGTGATGGAGTTGATAGCAAGAACCATTGGTTTCAGGATGTTGCAGGCCAATATTTGACTTTGGGCAATGAAGGTGTACTTCAGGGATGACACATGTTGACATGGTGAACATGCCCAGGTTCATGACTTAGACTTAAACTTCACATTGACATACATTGACCAGTTGATAATCACCGCTGGAACATATGCATTGACAAGCGAGCTCTGCCATCTATGCCACTAAATGAGAGCGTTGAGTGTATGCTGGCGTATTTGGTGGTTGACATGCCATGACTTTTGTTCATGGAAACGGCCTGTCTTTGCGAACTCACAATGATTCCTTTGCGAATCTGTCACAAACCCCATGTTTGATTTTTGCAGGAAAGCAAATGCCCTCTTGGCAATTGCCCTTACCCCAGACCCCAAGGAGTACACAAAAATGTTCTGTGTAAAGCTCAACATTCCTGGCCAATTGTCTTTGGTTGGCGTGAACTGATATGGCAAGTTGCTTGCTTATTTTGGAGTAATTTTAGCAGCTGGGGTCTTGCAACTAGGCTTTCACTTTCGCCCCAAGCCTTTGCGAGCCTGTCGCGACATGTCACACAAAAAACATCATTACGTAACATATTGCGCCACAAAAGTTGTCTTCCCCGGATCTTTCACAAAAGGGAACACTTTGCGTTCACGAGTTCCAAAGAGAAAAGACACAATAATCTAAGTACTAAGAACAAACAACTTTCGCCAGTGTTTACAAGATCAAAGGCTCTCACCGACTCTCGCCTGAAGGAAGCTTTAATGAATCAACTACCATGCACACATCATCAATAACAACAATAGATATGTCGTGACATATCATGATACACTCCCTGGGAGACCATATTCCCCTACAAACAGGGGAGCCATCCACTTCCATGTTAGTTCCTGGGAGAGTACATCAATCATTCGCGTGCTGCCAACACAGTGGCGATGTTGTCCAAATCCTGGTAGAGGCGATATGCAGCCGCGAACTTCTTAAGAAGCTCTCCTCAGAATGGTGCAGTGACCCTTCCCCAAGTCACAGTGGCAGGCTGCGAAATGCGCCCAAAACCATAAAACACATTGTGGACTGTGGACTCAGTTCTATACTCATTCATGTCTCGTCTGGAGTAAAACTTTCCGGACAAATTTGTCCTCGACTGACCATTCACCAGGTGAACGGCAAACACGAAAGAGTCGGTCTTCTTGGTTGAATTTGCGTTGCCGTGAGCCACAGTTGAAAGCCTTCCTCATTGCGTTGCCACCTCCTTCTGTCATAGACACTTAGTCCTGTTGTGAAGTGAGCCTGATTCTTACCCAAACTTTCTGGTTGCCAGCAACATGCAACACTCGAGAATTAATTGAACGACGTTCAAGTAATAGCTGTGGGTCATTCTGCTGGGACCATAACACAAATTGGGGAACCTACCATGCTGACCCATTTCTGACTGGGGCGTGATGGGTGTAGACGAGTACGAAGACCCCAACGTTGGTGGTTTTGGTAGTCTCCTTCCGGCAAGCCCTTCGAACTTCTTCGAACCATTTCAAACCCGAACTTCTTCCTCCGGGCAGCGCGTGGTACGTGCGATCCGAATGGACTCACGTGCGTGCTGCTCGGCGAATCGCATCGTTCTCCTGTCGGAGAGGCTGCTGTCCAAGCGAGCAAACTCCCAGAGGTTCTTGCAACAGGGGCGTTCGCAGAAAAGGTCTTTCTTGTCTTTTCTTCAACCATTGAGACTCTTTTCTTTCTCCTTTTCTTCTCCTCGGAGGGAGCATGTCTTTAACTTCAACCTCAACCTTGAGACTCAGGCATTCAACCTTTCACAAAGGACCGCTGAGCCCGTCAGTGACAAAATGGTTCCAGTTCACGGTTGTCGCTGCCCGGCCTTTGCTGCTTTCATGGTGATGTCAACATAGACCTGGGAAATGTTGCGCAGCAGGGGCCCACGTGATTTACAGCCAGCTGCAGCAGCCCTTGCAAAACAGCAAAGAGCAGCGCATCTGCAACGCGCATGTGAGGAGAGTAAGTGAACCTAAGAGAGTAAGTGACGCTAGTAGGGGCTCCTGGCATCGCTACTAGGAACAAGAACGCTAGTAGGGGCTCCTAACAGCAACCAGAGTAACCCCCGTGAGAAGGTCCGACAGGACCGGTCGACAGCCGTGAGATTCCTTAGAAGCACACTAAACAGAGCCATCTGGATACATCAAGGTCCAGATCCGGCCAAGGGTTCGTTGGGGCAGTGTAAGCAAACGATTTGCCTGGACACTGCCAAAACTGATGGTCCTGGAAACCAGTTTCCTTTTGACAAGAGGGACTGGCGTCCCCTTGACCCGGCAAATCTTCTCCCATCGACGATGCTCCCACATAGCGCATCGGCGACGTCCGCCGCGCCAAGCTCCACAGCGCCACCGCCGACTGCCTCCATACAAACCATGACATGAGGCCCACGCGGTCACATTGCTCAATTGTAGAGCTGGGCCGTAGCTATTCAGGCTAACATTTAATGCCGCGAAGTTGCTGGAACAGGAAATGGCAGTACCAGAGCCAAACAACAGAAAACACGACAAACAACCAAATCAAACCGACCAGCCAGCACCACCAGAAACAACCCCACTACCACCAGCAGCAAAAGAGATGAAGTGAGAAGATGAGCGAGTGGTCTCGAGAGTGTCCTTGTGGCATCTTGTGCACTGTTGGCATCTTGACCACCAATCCGCCATTCTTTGTTTTTTCTTGTCCAATTCCCTGGGCAGTGCAAGTCCTTCTTGTCCTTTTTGATGTCTTTCTTGTCATATTTTTTTGTTGTTTTCTTTTGATTATTTTTAATTCTCATTCCCAAGCTCAGTGGGCATAACATACGTACCTACTAATTAAGTCGCATGCTTCGCACACATCCCGCTCACTCACGCCGAGGACTCCAAAACCCAGGAGGAGTCCGGGAGGCACATGTAGGCCCGACAGGACATTCTCACGGGGTTTACTCTGATTAAGGAATCTTAGGTTCACGTACTCTCCTCAGGCAGGCAATAAAAACAGCAAGAAACATTAAGAAACCTTGTGAGCACATTTAGCATGACAAGCAAAGCAAACACCTGCTGAAAGAAAAGGCTAGAGATGGGCAACCTGAGGACAATGACAAGGACACGGACAAATGGCACTGCAACAGTATGCCGCATGCCACCCAGTCACAGCGAGGATCACGTTGAAGATACCTCAGGGGTTGGTATGTCTAGGACTGTGTGTTGATCACCGGCGCAAATATTGTGACACCCAACTGCTTCTGTGGCATGCTTGATTCAGAAATGACACAAGCAGCTGACAAGGAGTTGGGGTTGCTTTGAAGAGACAAAACATGACAAAACTATCTTCCTGCTGATGTAGATCCATCCAGCGGGATGTTACATATGTCAGGTATATCTTTGTAGCAGTTGGTTTGGGGGACCCAACTACTGTTGCAGGAAGATATTTAGAGCCCATCGTGGGTGTGTGGCGACAGCCACAATTTCTTCATCCAAGGCCTAATTAGTTGACAAATTACACAAACACACACTATCAGGGTAAGACCATTCTGAAAGACTACACATCTTCAAAAAATCACAACACCTTGACCAACACGGAGCACCACCAAGTGTCGAACCATAACACTGTGCCGCACCCTACAGCGAGGAGTCGAAACACGTTGAAACATTGATGATGTCTCTTCACTCCTCCAGCATATCAAACATATGGCCCGGCAGAGTTCGGGTGGATCTACATGGATCCATTTAGAGTTTCTTAAGTCAACGTCACCCGAAGGATTCTTTGTACTGGAGGACCCAGGTCTTGAGGAGTCTTGCGATCCCAATCTTAAGCTCATCAACACAGTGTTGCTACTACACCGTTGTCTTGACCTCGAAAAAAGTTCATTGTCACCCCATCGAAGTTTTCGGCGCACAGTGTGTTCTCTCATTTTTCCGGACTCCGCTCACAAACAGAACGCACCGTCCAAGAGTCCCATAGAGACCAACATGTAGCTCCTGACGGGGCCGAAAACATCACAACGGGTTGCCGCCTGATTTCCTTGCGAAGAGAACTCTGAAAACAATCAGCATCTTTGAGGAACCTTGTGGGATTGATTTCCATGAATTCCCGTCTGAAAAGTAGAAGAGCCCCGGCAAGCTGCGGTTCTGCCATACGGAAAAAAGGTTCCCGCTTGGCGTCATTTTGACACGTCAAAATATCATTGGATTTTCGTAGATCTGTATAATGGGCGTGTACTTCACGCGTGCTACTTGCATCAACTCGTTTCAACCCCGAATTCCGTTCGCGCAATGTCCTGACAACATTTGTTTCGAGGTGAGAAACAACTCCACGAGATCTGAAGGATTGGCACTCGCAACCCCAACGCCAAACTTATAGGCGGCAATTTTGGTTTGCAGCAGTTGCTGAATGGCTTCGTACAAACGCATATGTGCGTCCTGGACCGGCGGCAGTCCGTGACACCCCAAGTTTCCAGCGACTGAACTCGGCAGCAACCCAACAACCAAATGCAACAAAAATAACAAACAACTGCCAATCCCTTTAGACCAATTTAGACCTTACAAACATTTGGACTTATTTTCCTCGAGCCCGGCCCGCAGTGTCGATGCCAAGGCGCATGACATAGCCCATGACGAATGGCAGGCCGAATTCATTCGCGATGAGCGTATGGATGGGCCGGCCTCAGAGTGATGTGGAAGGGATCTGCAGAAAACCTCAATGGCTGGTTCATGCGGATCGACATTTAAAGAGACCTTTGGCGGGTGCGCTCCCTTTGATAGGTACTTGGGTCTGCGGGAGGGTTTCTGTCTATCTCCGAAAGAGTTGTAGTGCCGGTATGCGCAGGTCGTCAAGCTATAGTGGTATAGTGAACTTGGTCATTTTGCCTTTCAGTGAGGGCAATTTTCGAGGAGGGGATATCGGATATGGCAAAGTTGTCCTAGGACTCTGGGGACTGAACCAACTGCATTCGAGTCTGGAAATCAATGTATCGCTGGAAAAATAAGGATAACTGTTTCTGCCTGATCATGCATTTTGGTCGGGAAATCAACTCACAAACTTATAGTAAACCACTAAGAGATATAAGCACTCTATGAACATCCATATAAGAAATGGAATCACGTTTTAGGTGACAATCTGATAAGTTATATAGATTAATGATCTAATATAACATGTCATGTTGAGACACAATTTTCCCAAATTCAGCCGCTTCCCTTCTCGTCATCGCTCAAACCAGTTGTCCAGCCTGCTGTATCGATGCACTCGCCCGCGAAGCACAGAAAGGCCGTGAACATCGCCCTGAACATGTTCCAATCGAAAGGCTAGGAACAAGGGCATCGCTACTAGGAGCAAAGCGCTACTAGGGGCTCCTGGCATCGCTACTAGGCAAGGATGCTACTAGGCACAAGGGCAGAGGAAACAAAAGGGTTCAGCTGAGAAGGTCGACCGAACTACCCCTCCACCGAAAAACAAGCTGAGAAACACGGACCCCCTCAACCAAAAATCGTCTCAAAAGGAAATCTCAACTCTGAGTTCTGAGCAAACGCTGCTGTACATGGACCATGGAAGGTCGAACAATCTCGAGCACGGTTGACGGACCTTTGATGAATCTCATCCTTCAAACAGGGATTGGGCAGAGAAGCTAGGAGGTTGGCTGGCACTCATTCACGATCAGTATGGCCCAGAGTTGAGGGAGGCACTTCGCATGGAAGAGCCTATTGTCTTGCGAGGAGCAGATCAGGAGCTCAGGGCAAGGCGACTTTTCCATCTTATTCAGCAGGCCTTCACAGGATACCCCAAGATTGAACACATGATCCGCAATCAAATCATGGCCCGAGGGGCAGCTGATGCAAACGGCTATGAACTTTTCAGATTGATTCGACGTGAGTTCTCAATTTACAGTAGGCAGGAGGCCCTTTACTACAGAGAGCTTGTTTTGAAGTTCACTGTCAAGAAACCTTCAATTGATGGCTTGATTGATGTTCTTCGAGAGATCCAGACAGAGATCGAATCATTTCACAGTATGCTTGAGGCAAGTGTGATGGCTAGAGCATTGGTTGATTTGAGGATCAATGAGGGGGATCAGTTCTTGCTGTATTTGAGGAATTTGCCTGAGAAGGTAGCTGAACACGTGCAACTCATCAGCGGGGCAGGGACTGTCCAGCAGCTTTGGCGAGCAGTGACAGAGTATTACATCCGCAGTCGTGCTACTGGAACCATGGAAAGGGCACATGCTGTTCAAGGTTCTCCCATTCGAAGCAAGGGTTGTTTCAACTGTGGAGACCCTGGTCATATGCAATCAGAGTGCCCCAAACCAAAGCGCTGCAAACACTGTGGGAAGAGCGGCCATGTGGCCTCAGATTGTTGGGAGAAGCATCCTGACAAGAGACCGTCCAAGAACACCAAGGACACTGGAGCAGACCCTGGCAAGAAGTCTTTTCCATCCAAAGGAAAAGGAAAAGGCAAGAGCAAAAGCAAGGGCAAGGGCAAAGGAAAGAAAGGAGGCAAGTTGAGAGAGCTTGAGGACGAAGATGAAGAGGGCGAATGGGAGTTTGAAGACCCCGAGGAAGGCTTGGTCGGGGATGAAGACCAAGTAGCAATGGTAGTGACTTCGAAAAGTTCGAGTACTGAAGGGGCAGCAGCTTCCAATTCTGAGCCGGTAGTTCACAGTGTCACTCATCCTCTCGAGTACTTGTTGAGTACTCAGGGCTTGGGAAAGGATCTCAAGACCCATTGGCTTGTCGATTCAGGTGCCACTTGTCACATTGTTGCTGAGGAATGGTTGAAGCTTTACAAGCTGGTACCCAGGTTCAGCTCCAATCCTGAGAGGTGCAGGGGATCATATCCTTCCCACTGCAGGGATGGTAGACCTAGAGTTCAAGGTAGGTAGGACCCCTGTTGTCATGCAGCGAGTAGTGGTAGCTCGAATCAAGTTGAATGTGATCAGCTGCTATGCCCTGTCAGAGACAGGATGGTTGACTCGCCTTGGAGGAGCACGAGAGAGTGTCCTCGAGAATGGTCAGGGCACCAACTTTCCTTTGAGGATCTGTGAACGTGCTTGGTGGTTGAAGGTTGATCTGATTTCAAGGCCTAGTCAGGCCAGACGCGGAGGCAAAGCGACCAAAGGTCCTGCTCCAATGGAGGTTGATGAGGTGAAAGGTCCCCCATCGAACCCAGAAGAGATCAGAGAGACCCAGACCCCTGAAGCACGAAGCACTGAGAGTACGGTCACACCACATACACAGTACAGAAACGACAGAAACGACAGTGAAACGCAAAACGATGGAGTGACTGAACAGGCACGACCAGTTTCTAAGGCAGGGAAGTCGAGAGCTAAGGGTCGAGAAGTGATGTGCACTCAGCCTGGTTCTTTGCAGTCGTTTTCGTATGTTTGTCGTATGTTTCGTTTTTGTGGTGATGAGCCTGTTTCTTTTCCAATTTTGTCTTTTGATTGTGAGCCCGATACGCTGGAGAAGGGGAATGAGGATGATCAGGGAGATTTTGCCTCTTTCACTTCAGAGTTTGACACCTGGGAGGTTGAGTCGAACTCCTCTTTGTGAGCTGTGAGAGCCAGTTGTTGGATTTGACTTCCTTTCCGAAGGTCCGGACGGGCATCCGGAGGCTTTTTCGGAGGTTTTTGGGAGATCTGAGACGGATTTTGCTTCTTTGCTTGCGTTCTGGAGGAACCAGGAGGGGTTTCCGGGAGGTTCGGAGGAGTCCGAGCGGGTCCGGATGTTCCGTGGGTTAACGAAAACCGTTGATTTGGAGAGTGATGACATGGAGGAGTACACTCCCTCCATCCCCGATCAGGTAGGTCCGGAGGCGGAGGCCGAAGGTCCGATGGTTGAGGCAGGTTCCGATGTCGATGAACCACCTGGGGAGTTGCCCCATTATGACCCTGAAGGTCCACATTCGTCGGATTTGGAGGATCCATCACCCGAGCTGGAGGGCAGTTTGTTGTATGAGCACGAGTGTCGAGGACATTGGCCATATGACCGCGGGTGTGATGCGTGTGTTCAGGCAAGAGGTCGGACGCCCGCACGGAGACGAAAGGACCAGGAGTCAAGCACATGTGATCTTGCTGCTGACATCATGTTTGTAGGTGGAAGGCACTGGAAGGTGTTGGTTCTGCTCATGATTCAGACTGGGATGATCGGTATGGTGGTTTTAGGTGGTGACCGGGAGAAGGACGTGACACAGCGGGAAAGGCTTGGGAAAAGCTTGACAAGTGTATCTCCAAGGAACCCTTCAGCATCATCAGCTCTGCGCTTCTGAAGTTTTTGTCTCCTAATGGCTCCTACTACAACTGCCAGGATATCCTTGCTTTTCAACGATGTTTTTCGCGACTCCATCGATGGGAAAGCATCGCAAAAACCGTGGCAGTTTGTCCGGGACCAATGAGTTGCTTGGGGGGCTGACTTGGAGTCACAGTCTGATGTGGGTGCAGAAAGCATGCGAAAAGTATGCGAAAAAGATCGAAACAGTATATCAGTGCTTGCGATTTTGGACATCAAGCCTCATGTTCTAAGGCACTAGGCGGACACTCCAGGAGCATGATAGCTGGTGGTTTCAAGTGGGTTTGTCTGCACACTTGTCCCATACCTATGTGGACATGGCAACTCAGCGTGGCTGGATTGGATACTATAATATACATGGCTCTCACTCGAACACTTTAGGAGCGCTTGTCATTTTCTTGTTACATAGAAGGTTCACAAGTCACTAGCCTTTTTTTCCCCAAGCATGCCTACCCTTCAGCCTTCAGGCTTCGCCGCTTCGCCCATTCTGGGTCACCCGGACTCTGGAATCGTCTTGAAGTGTGGCATCAGCCCGATCTCGGAGGTTCGTGGATCGCTTCCTCAAGGCTGGTAAGCATTCTGCCGAAGGGTGCATCTCCCAAAAGAACGATGGAGCTTGAAGTCAAGAGCCCCGGAAGGTGGGTTGCTGCTATTTGGAAGACGATCTTTTTGGCTCATGCAGCCTGAACTGGAGACCAATATAGAAAAACACACATTCCAGGGTGCGGGAGCTGACTCCCTCAGCTTCCCTGGGAAATAAGGGTTGAGCAAACTTTCCAGTTGTTTTGAGTGGGGTGTCCCCAATACCGCCCAAACAACCTAATAGCCTAATTACTAGCGATGGCCTCCAACCTAAGAGCGATGGTCTCCAACCTTATCCACTTTTCCTGGGTGTGGGAGTGTGCCAGTGCAAGATTTGTCAAATCATCATATCTTCCTCAGAATCCCTCCAAGGCACCGATCGTCATGGTGGCAAAGCCTGAAATCACGTAGAGCACAGCGATCCTGTCACGCGTGAGGTGGTGTGGTAGTTCACCTCTTCACTTCCAAACCAATACATGGGACTTGGGCAATCTATGTTCATTGGCTTTTGAAGATTTTCATGTCACTTTCCTGGAGAATTGAATGCATCTTCAAACACATCTTGCATGCCAAGCATCAAAAGGACAAAGGACAAGCAAAGGGTGCGAAATCCGGCCACTAAGCCTCATGTCGTCGTCCCGAAGCAACTGAGTTTGGACTAAGTAGTGTTTGAAGTTGTGATGATGCACAGGTGATGGAGAACACACTCCGTCCATCTCAACCAACTTCACAAGACAAACAGGTTCACTGGCCTTTGCAGTCCCTGCCAAATTTTCATGGATGGCCTCCGAAGTATTCTTCTCTTCAAAGCATCCCGCAGCATCCGCTTTGTTCGGTGCCTTTAGACCGTCTTTGGTAGTCTGAGGCGGAGGCCTTTCACCATGAGTCGTAGTTCTTTCATGCACCTGAAGGGTGCTTCTGGAAGCGAGGAGGTCGGAAGCCACGGCTTGAACGGCCGTGAAAAGTGACAGGAGATGACCCCAAGACTGACGAAACGAAGCCGTATCGATCCCTGGAACACATAACCGAACTCTCCACCTGTTCGTCCGTTCTTTACCGAACGATGTCCCAATAACTCAAAGGTTATCCACTTTTCCCTGGGAGGGGGATGACCGGATTGGAGATCACCCTAGAACGCCGAAGATCAGTCTTCGGCGGCCAATGGCTTCCGGTGGCCAACAGCAGCACGTCATGGTCTTCTAGCTCTCATGTCCTGGCTGAACCTGTTTGATCGACTGGCGATGAAAACCAGGTTTGGCATCAATTCCAATAAATGATACGTTCATGACCGCAAGTGTCAGTTTCTCATCCTCTTGGGCCAAGAAATCCTACCACCAAAGCATGCAGCTCAACACGTACAAACCGCCCTTCTTGGGCGAAATGATGACCCCAGCCACACACTCCACGGTCCCAAGCTGTTACAAATGGTTCATCTCACCGCGTGACCAGGCCCTTCACCCGTCGCACACGGGTCCACCGAAGCACGGCACGGTGGTGAAACGGGCCTTAAGCGGAAGACCTTCACCACGCGGACCAGGCGAATCAAACGGCAAAAACGCAGGAGCGAGACGCCTAACCTGGAGGAAGGGAGGAAGCGAAGGGAGGTTCGGGGGTTTACTCTGAAAATGCAACCCGCTCGTCTATTTCGTTTGAAATGATCATTCAAGCATCAGGTGATGCCAGAAACCTAGTTTTCCTTTGGAATTCGACTTCAGGAGCTCAATATCGGGTATCCACCAACTCATGGCAGGAGTTTGGAGATTGTGTGGACCTTTTGTCCAACAATATACCAAGGGGGTGGGTCAACACCGCCAAAGCCTTTTCGAGAGTGTCAAGTTGTCAAGATGATTGAAAGATTGAATGCTCAACAACCGTCTTGTCTGGAGTACTTTGCCCCTGCTTGGCTTGGCTATGCTTGGCTCATCCCTGAAGGTCTGAGAACACCAATCCCATTCTCCGTTCTTCGAGCGAGCTGGTGAACGGCGTCAGGTTCACTTCGGGATCTTGCCTGAGCCCTAAGGCGCTCCGATTCACCATGGTTTACGTGATACGATACATGATGCCTTGCAAGACCAGTCGGTGGTGCCGGGAGACATGTCCGATTCCTCACCAAAGTAGGAGATGCAAAGATCCGCCAGCCCGGTGAAGCTCAGGAAGAAGTCGAACCTCGGATCCGGTCTGGGTCGAGTCTGAACGACGCGACGACGACAGACCTGCTTTGAAAGCATAGATTTGCATAACTAGTCCAACTTTCTGAAATTCCGGTACAATTCTTGAGGTTGGTCAAAATGAGTTCTGACATGGGAAGCCATGGAAGCACTTGGTGACCAAAAGCTCTCAGGCGCAAATTGTTTTCAAAAGAGCATGGAAGAACTAGTTCCCCTCTGCCAAACACTATTCCGTGTTCGAATTTGGGATCTAACCTCTGGTGGTGACTGGAGAGTTGTGCTGTTGCCGTTGTGTTTGGAACACAGAAAGTATGAAGAGCTCAAGTCAACGGCCAAATTTGGTGAGTGAGATATGCGATCCCACTGGTGCCTGCGCAGGAAGAATGCACGAATGCCCGAATCCAAGCAAAACCATCGATCGGGTGGTGAACGTTGCACAATTGATGATGAGAACGACTTAGGACATCAATGATCCTGTCGACTGCCGGCCTGTTCCATGGGGTAAAACTCCCATGAAGCTTTTCCACAATAACCCCGGCAAAAATATGCAAAAATGGAAGCAGGACTCAGAACCGCTCGGAACTGTTGATGGAAGAGCCATTGACACCAGCAACTTCACTGAAAACACGCTCCCAGGCGCTGCTCCAGAGCAGGCGGGACCCTTAGAAACCCAAACCTTCGCGAGCACGCACATGCCCGGTGATCAAAGCAACCAGTTGAAGAGCCGGTCGTTGCCACAAAAGAAGAGTCGCACGCCCAGCAAGCGGATGCGCAGCACGTTCTCCAGCACAAGGGCAACCTGGGAGAAGGGGCAGTTAACTTAAAGGCTCCGCCATTGGGCACATTTCAGCAAATATAGACCAACACAAATCTCACGAGAACGCTATAACTAGAAGACTCAGACTCAGATTTAATTTCAGATACAAATTTGATTTGTTTTGTCTACTTCTCAGAGTCAGTCTGAAATCGTTTCCAAAATAAACACAAAGGCCAACTTATGGAGTCGTATCTTGATCCTTCTGGTTCATAAAGTCGGCCAAGTCAGGGCGGGGCATGTTCATGCTCAGTGGAGAATATCTTCGAAAACTCTCCAAACTCCCTTGTTACTACTAGCTTCTTGTTACTACTAGTAAGGCACTTGTTACTAGTAGCGTGGCACTTGTTACTACTAGCTTCTTGTTACTACTAGTAGTCCCCGCCTTTTGGTTCGATTCGTCGAAGTTGCAAAGTCTCATGATACGAACTGGCTACATGAGACCGTCTGTGTTGGATGACTGAGTACCCATGTGGAGTGCACAAAGGCTAAGGTAGACAGAGCATCTCTGGTCCCCCAGCCCAATCTGCAATCCTCAACGAACGGAGATGTTCATCCAAATATGAAGCCAAGGGGCAGTTCCCAACAGTAGAAACATGTAACTTGATATGTTTGTCAAGCAGCATCTTGATTTCCTTCTCTATCACGTCTCACAAGATGAGGGTGCATTTGCTGCTTGCTGAATCGACCACTAATCTAAATTAGACCAAAGGTGTGCTACCTCGGGGTATCACTTGACGACTCTTCCATGCTTAGACATTCTCTCTGCCGTCTTTAAACGGAAAATGCCTTCAACTTTCAACCTTGATCTCCAACATGGTGTGACTATGTATATATATTTTGAGAGCATGCTTGGGTCAGTTGCCCTGGTAGTTGATACCCGTTCAAGAACTTAGGAGGTTATACATGGTTCTACCTCTACCAAAAGTGTCCGAACATACCAAAAGTACTACCAACAGTATCCTTTGGAGGTAACACCAAAAAGCTCTCTTCTTTTCTTCGGGAGCTAGAGTCACGGTTTCCTGACCTGCGCAAGCGACCCACCCACGAAAGATCCGCTCAGATCTGCTCTGCCGTAGTTTCGGCCCAGATACGACGAAGGTCAGTTCTAACCAAGGCCATCCTGCGGTGATTCGACACCATGAGTCATGAGTCCAGTCTTTTAGAAGGTTTCACTTGCGATATGACCCTCCTGGATGACGGATCACTCTTTCAGCATCTTTAAGCGAATGGAGTCCATCAAATCTTTGATGATTGCGTTTGAACTTGGCTTGGGTGAAACAATCGAAAATGATACACTTGAGGCTGGCGTAATGCCATGACGGACAAAAATAGTTGCCCAAAAGCACTCCCTCAGGCAGGATTGACACTCTAAGCAGGCCTTGCAACTACCCAACCAATCTTGGGAAGTCTTGTACAAAGTCTTGTACAAAAGTGTTGAACACAGGATAAGGCTCAACTGGCATTCAAAGACACCTAACAGCTGCCACCCTTAGTAAGATCAATAAAGCAGTCACAACTTACTATAGTCTCGAGCTCTACGTCTCCCTTCCCAAATCTTCTAGAAGCTCCCGGCCTTTCGTTCTCAGCAATTCAACGCATAACCCGTTTTGTTCTGCTCGAGCTATTTAGCCTTCTCGTTCCGGATGTCGCCGGAAAGTCCCTCCTTCCCAAGCTTCAAAATCGGGATGAGTTTGGAAGCCAATCATGATGCCGTTGGCAATGATCAAGAGCGCTACCTCGGCATGTGCAGCGTGTCGCAGGTTCGCAGGTTGTGTGGGCGGAGATAGGTGTTCTTTGGGCTCGCCCGAAAGAGATGCCTGCCCAATATATCCCAATATTATCAATATTCACTGGCTACTTGGAGAGAGGTACAGGTCATAGGCCTGCTGGAAGGCCCTTTCTCATCATTCATCTGACTGCATGAACTTGCGCTCGGAAGTTCAGAAAACGCATGTCAGGGTCTCTCAAAGGGTACATCGGTGGCGCTTTGGAAGCGACAGGATACATCATCTTGGTCTACAGATTCTTCCATGCTTGCTTTCACCTCTTTAAAACCAACCACACAAGATCCACACAGTTCATGTACAAAGATCAGATGAGCAATGACGAACCCCTTTTGGCTCCAATATCACCCACTCGTTGGGCTGGCGGTGAAGGAACCAATGCAAACACTGCCAAGATCCCTCATGATTCACCATCCTGCCTCCCTTTTAGATGTGGAAAAACCTTAAAGTCACCGACTCCCTAAAGCCGTTTTTCCAGCAACGTCAAAACAAACACCACCTCAAAAGCTGAGCCCTAATTGTCAACTGTCTGCCTCTTTTGCTTCAACGGTTTGCAGCACATCCACCGGGTTCCTCCCCATCGACCAGGACCCATCTAGATCCCAGCTCTGGGTCAAAACCAGGACTGCTTTTGGTTGACCTAGAAGGTCAAGCTGGTTCAAGCTGCATCTCCAAACCTACCTGCTTTAGACCGAAGAGCATTGAAGAACCAAATTCCCCCACTGATGCCATTGTTTCCTTCAAAGCGACGAAGGGCTCCATGAAGAGCAAGACACCCATGGGCTCCGGTGGCGCCGCCAGGTCGTTGATCCGCACCTCAATCGCCCCACCGTCGGTGACGGACAAGATCGCTTTGAAGCGCGAGGTGGATGAACCGAGCCAATCGCAAATGACGTTGGATGGACCGATGGATGCGGATGACGTGAAATGCAATCATGCATGTGATACTGTTGATGGGTCTTTAGCACCTCACCAGTGAGCCCCATAGGTTCATGCTTCGTAGCAATCCTCCATGCTCATTCAATGTTGGTGCTATGCCTCTGAGGTGGGGGCATAGGAAGAACAAGGGTCGCACCAAAAAGAGGTGTGCGCGAGAGTCGCACCACAGGAGTTGTTTGGTCCATGGAATTCATATGTAGTTCATCCTTTGCTAAGTAGTTACTAGTAGCTTCTTGTGACCAGCAGCGATGCCCTTGTTACTAGTAGCTTCTTGTTACCTGCAAATTCTGACGCGTGGCACTCCAGCGTCCTTTTTTACCGTTTTGCCCGAGCGGCGAAGGTCAGTTCGGCAACCAGGCGATTCGTGTCGCCCGCGAGGAGAATCTCCCGCATCGCCTTCGCGAACGGAGGAAGAACGGGGACCGGATCTCCCTGGTGACCCTGTCGGTGGGGTGCTTGAGAACAGTGAGGTGCTTGTTCTCCTCCTTACGTCCCCTTCACGAAGATCGAAGTACAAGTATAGGGTGCTCGAGACTTTTGGCCGGGCACGGACGTGAACTGGTGAAAGGGTGATGCAACAGCAATCAGATTTACATGTAATGCTCCCTGTCGCCATGAAATCGCAGTGGATTTCACATCGGTCCAGTCCATCACTGGAGAAGGCTTCAAAGTCATCATCTCCCTGATCCCTCCGTCACCCGTCGATCCTCAAATTGCGTGAGCAAGCGAGTGTTGAACATCTTGCGGTGCGTCTCGTGGTCTGGGAACATGAACAGATCCATCCTTGTTCCACGAACCGGAGAGAGAGAGAGAGAGGGAGGGAGACTCTCTTTTTTGCTGAAGAGCAAAAAAGTGGGAAAAAGGAATTCACGTGTTATGGACGTAACTACTGGACAAGGATCGCTTCGTTTGCATGGATGAAGCGCGGTCTTTCATTGTGGCCTCCATGGCTGCTGAATGCTGCTGATACCCTCCAAGCTAAACTGATTGCGCTCCACCTGTAAATGCATCTTGTCATCTTCAAAAAATATCTTAAAAATCCCCAGCTAGCCCATTGAAGAACCGACAGCTTCTTGGTCCAACCCTTCTTTGCAGCTGTCCCTGGCGAACTCCCTGGCGATCCCCTAAAGCTCGCTTCCAATCTGGTCGAATTCGTGCAGCAACTCATAGATTCGGGTGAATTTGGTCAACCAAATAGCGATGGCCTCCAACCGTCCTTGCTCCTAGTTGTAAGGCCAGGAGCCCCTAGTAGCGTCGCTCCAAATAGCGATGGCCTCCCTAATTCTGTTCTTTCCTTGAGTGTTTCATCCGAGAACTGGAGAAGTCAGGTGCCCCCCGTCATGAAGACATCACAGGGCCGAAGGTGAAGGCATGATCCCTTTCCGAGTGGCAGCGCTTGCAGGGGCACCACGTTGTATTGGCACTTGATTTGGTTCCCCTCGAAGGCGCTGGGTGCCACAGACTCAGCAGCGGTGCTCACACGCTAGGGCGGGAGGTGCAGCCATCTGGGATTTGGGGGAGCATGATGTTCAAATTTAGCACATCTTTGCACATTCACTTCGGAACAAGAGCGCAATCACTGCAACTTCGTTTGGTGTTTGGATGTGCTTGGGGTGAAGTCCTTACCTTGAAAGTCTCTGGCTCCGTTCAATTTTCAATTGGCATCTTTTTGAAGTACCCCGTCTGGAGTCTGTTCGATCCAGCACAGCTTCTCCCAAGATCCTTGACCTGACAGCTGTTTTTGCATGAGCAATCTATAGCAAATGCCAGAAAAATATCAGTGACTCACCTGCAAACCTACTAGTGATGGCCTCCACTCTACTGATGGCCTCTATGTAAATAAGGCGGCCTCGAATCATCGGTTCCCCCAGTCCGAACGTTGACGTTCCAAGTGACAGTGCTGTGCAAATGGGCGACGTTCCCCGAGCCGCTCCTGGGGCCGGTCGAAGGTTCCTATGGCCCAGTAGATGCCGTCTCGATCAGCGAATTGGTGAACCATCTCCAGCATCATCATGCTTGAAGACAGGTCCTTTGTAGTATGTGAGCTTCTGAGTTTCTGGTATTTGGTTCTCTTTCAACGGCTAGCCAACGGAATCTGCCAAACTCCAACACAACGGTGAGATGGCTTCTGTACTGTTACATAACGCCCCACCAACCGGTATTCCACAGGTCACAAATGAAAGTACAAGCTGAGACTCCAGGAAAACTCCCACTCATCCTCACATTAAACTATACAAAAGGGCCAGGCCATTTCAATCGAAACATTGTGACTCGGAGTGTATTCACAATTTTTACTAGTAGCTCCTGGCCTTACTACTAGTAACAAGAAGCTACTAGGGGCTCCTGGCATCGCTACTAGGAGCAAGGACGCTACTAGTAGCTCCTTTCACGGAACTTTCCGCTCACCCTCCCAATCACTGCGAGGCACACGAAGCGTTCCGGCCACTGCCAACTGGGCGGCCCAAACCTCAGTGTATCGATCAGTCTTCAGTCTTCCATGTTATTCTAGTCAAGACATTGAAGGAGAATGGAATTCCTTCATGATTGAGGGTTTTGAACTGGCTATCTGGCCATCAAGAACAAGAAGACCAACAGCACCAGCAACAGCGCAGCAGCAAAAGCAAGATGCCTTTGGTGGTGAAATTGGACAAATCGGTGAACAGTCACAGGTTGTTTGTTGCATCTTATGTGAATGCACTTCATTCATGGCACTCATCTACACATTTGCAAAGGACTCATGACTCATGAGGGGCTCCAGTTTCATGTTGACAGCCTGCTACGCAGGCACGTCTATGGCCATGGAGAACTCACTGGTCTTTATATATCTTGGAGCAATGTTCTATTATATAGGTTGGAGCTGTTCGGTTGGAGGCCATCGTAGGTTGAAGGCCATTCCTATTAGTAACTCAAAAGAAGATGCATTTTTTGTCAGAATGCCTTCCAAACAGCCCAGAAAAGCATCGACCCCCTGTCTGCAGTATGCACTGTGCAACGTAAATCTGCAAGGTGTTGTGCGAGGATTTGAGCTTTTACAAGATCAGTCCACTCTCTTCTCAGGGACCTTCACCTGTTTTTTCGTATGTTTTCTTTGCAACGGCCACAGCTTGGATCTGCCGTCATACCTTGTCACACTCCTTAAGGTCAACCTCATCCACAAACACCGGTGCCCTGTGGATCTCTATCAAACCTTGGGTTTGATCACAATAACGCTCGTATTTGTGTTTGGTCTTGTTACGTTTTCTATCAATGCATTCACAAAGCCATGTACCTATACTATGCGACCTGAAGAGCGATGCCGGCATCAAATTTTATCTGTGTTCTGCCCAAAAGCAGCACATTGACAACAACACACAGCAACAAAACCCACATGCCAGGGCACCCGTTGGTGTCATCCTCTTGAAATTCGAAGTCGAAATTAAAGACCCCCTGCAAGGGTGAATTGCTGCGCTTGTAGTTTTCGGTCTTCAACTCCTGCTGGTCAACTCGCTGCAGTCACTCCAACATGCTTTGTTAAAGGCAAAACCAAAGGAGCACCCAAACAATCCCAAACAATCCGGTATTCACACTGCCTTCTGCAAACCAAAACCCCTTCTACGGGTTAGCACGAACCCTCGGGCAATAGCAGAAGAAGTCTTCCACGAACCCCCCAGATCATCTACGACCCCCGCAGGGTTAGCATGAACTCCAAAGACCTCCACGAAGCTCTGCGGACGGCAATCCACATACTTCTACTTAGTGCATACCCCGTTCGTTTTGCCCTGATTTGTGTGAACTTCATGCCATCCTATGCCATCTTCGTCCTAGTTGTGTTGTTCCTTTGATACAAGGTGAGCACCAAGAATTACATCAAATATCATCAAATTGCATCAATAGATTGTGCTGACATTCAGTATAACCGATGTCATTACAACTATATTTCGATCAGTTGTGTTTGATTGAAGTCCTTCCTTGGTTCTGTCGGGGGTGGTGGGGGATGTAGGGGGTGGGCTTGCACCCGTTGACACAATCATTCCAACTCTTCTATCCCATGCGATGCCGTGAAGGATTTGTTTCAAAGGAAACAAGACTATGGAACAACACATGCACATCCCCAGGCAAACTCTTCTGTTGACTGCCATGTTTCCCGGGATTAACAGCCCGTTGCAAATCTTCATCTGATTCTAATGGTCAGTCATAGTCAGTCTGTTGTTCCCTTCGGTGGACACGAGTGGAAATGTGCGCCTCAAAGCGCAGATCGATGTAATCCGCGATGGAATTCACCAAGTCATTCCTGGGTTTGAACATCGAAGAAGTTCTCTAAGGTCAAAAGAGGCAGTGGAAACCACAAAAAACTGTTCAGAAACCACATTGACAAAACTCGGTCGAGCCATGTACATCAAACTCAAGAAACCTGCTACCAAATCAGGGAGTTACTCGAGTTGATGGAGATCGTAAATGATCAGCAAAAGACCACAGGATCAATGGGGTCCGTTCTTGTTCAGTCCAATCGTTCCGCAATAGAAGACCAATCGATTCTACATTATGCACATGGGACTTCGGGTCAGTCTCCTCGTCTCGTTCTCCAAGCAAACAACACACCACTTTTGACCCCAATCTTTCCAAATCTGTCCTGATCTCCATAGATCCTGCCACAAAGAATAACACATCTTTCACATGGAGACCTTGGTCAAAACCAGGAGACCTTGGTTACACGACTTGCGGACATACTCCAAGCGCAACCCTAAACATTCCTTACTGTGACACCGGGTATGAAGGCTGTGAAAAGTTTGGTTGTAGCAAGGTCTCCTGGTTGACCTACCGACCTGACTTGCACATCTGGTCCGGAGCTTCCCATGGCTCTTCACCATCTGGTGTGTGCCTGGGAGGTCAAACTATATTGAGGCTCCATTGATGGGGATCTTCCTCGACTTTTCCACCCAGTGGCATGTTCTCCACCGTGTAACTCGTGAGTCCCAAGGCTTCCATGGCGCTGTGCAAGTTCCGTCCAGAGACCAACCTGCCACTCGGTCAGACAGCGGAAGGATTCAAGAGACTTAAAAGGGCTCTGGGCCCTGTGGCGCTGGCTGACCTAAAAAGCTCCTTGTTACAGGTGAAACGATTCCCAGTGAAACGATTCAGTTACTATAGAAAGCTTTCTTGTTACTATAGTAGCAATGGCCTCCAACACTAGCGATGGCCTCCACCTCGTTTTGGATGGTTCTGGTCTATTTCCCGAACCTTTCAGGGGGTCGCCGCCTGGGAAGAGACTTCACGTATGCCCTTGGGTGCCCCTGTCACATCCTCTCACTGGATAGGTCTAAAAACCACTTCGATATATAACTCCCATGAACTCCTGGGCTGGTACAGCTTATTTTTGGGGTGGATGATGGTGGATGAAATGTTCAATGGTTTCGACTTCCGCCCACCTGGCGACCCTATGACCGACATTCGGAGTATACACCAAAGTCTCCTTGCCCCGCTGGCGTTCAATCTCATCAGTCTCGTCAGAAAGTCAACTAGCCAAAAGTTGCACATCTCGCAAAAGGACGACAAGCTGCAATTGCACCCCCTCGGCCCTCCCCTCAACAACTGTGCTCTGCAACCATGTGTGTCATTGACATCCTTGGTCATCGTCTCCCACCCTTCACGGCCGCTTCCGCGCCTCTGCGCCGTCACGGCGGCGCCCAGGCGCACGCGCAGGCGCTGCCGAATGGCCTGGGCCTCTGTGGAGCTCAGCCTCGGCTGAAGGGTTTGCTAGGGGTTCAGACGAGGCCTTCTGGTCAGGTAGGAGTCGACTGGAAGTGACATGTTGAGGAATCTATGGTATATTGATGCATGTGTTTGTGGGTTTACAGAAATGTTTTCTTGAGGACTTTCTTGGTGTTGGTCTACAGGAGCCTGCTGTTGCGTGGACTTTTTCTCGAGAGCACTCGGCTGTTTGGATCCCTTAGCCGAAAACTCCGTCTGATTCACGGACTCCCCATGCTGGGATGCTGGAACATGGAACCATCGGCATTGGATTCGGACGTGCTTCTTGCCCTGGCAGGGACCCCCCACCCTGCTTCACCCTTCGCTTGGTGGGCGCCAGAGGTGCTCCAGCAAAGCTCCACACTGCGAGTTCGACACTTCTGGCATCCAACTTCGTGTGGAGCAAAGCAGGTGGGGTTTGAAAAGAAGACTGGACTTACCACTGACAAGTTTTGATATGGAAGATATCAGCTACTTACCTGTAGGATCCAGGATACAATTCTCCCAGCCACACCGGACGAGCCGCAAGTTGAAACTCCACTCAGATCCTTCCTGAGCTTGAGAGCGAGAGCTAAAATCCGAGTCAGTTCATCAGCTGCTCCAACCTAGTAGCGTCCTTGCTCCTAGTTGTAAGGCCAGGAGCCCCTAGTAGCGTCCTTGCTGATTCTTGGTGTTTTCTTCCTTTTTTTGGGGTTCTATTAGTTCCTCCTCTGGGAGATTTCAGCTCACTGAGTCACCGATAGAAAAGAGTGTGAGAAGAAGCCAAGATTATGAAAGCTGACCAGGTCTCATCAAAGCCCAAACTAGGTTGTTTGATCAAGACCCCGCAGTAACAGGATACAATCATTTCTTCTTATTCGGACTTGGGCCCTAAGCAGTTGAGGTGACCCGGTATTTCACAACAATCTCGACCCCCGGCCATTTTGGGTCCAAGCTGCGCTCACGTCTTTCGGCAAGTTCGCAGCTTTGGCCTAGAGAACGTCTCTCAATTCATGTTGGAAACGTGGGTGGCCTGTGGATATTTTCTGCCCAGAACCTGTCTGCCCCGGAACCGGCTGTCCGTTCGGCCTGAGTGATCTCTTTCACCAAGTCGTTTGGGTCCCATCGTTGCAAGAGATCCCGGATGGTCTGGCAACGCAGTCGCGGCGCGAGAAGAGCTCTTGATAAATAAAATGATTCAAGAAACAGGTCAACTGCAATCAGTTGGATGAACTGGTATTGATCACCTTGCTTGAGGTTTTTGACACAGTGAAAGCAAAGGAGGATGGACAAGGTTTGGATCCACCTAATCCACCTTCACATCCAAAAAGATCTAATTCTACCAGGGAAACGCGTACCATCTATAGTGGCCAAAAGGGCACGACCGCCACCGGGACGGCCATTGGGCGCCTCGAACTGCTTCCGCGTCCGGGGGCCAAAGATCCGTTTTGCCAGTTGAGGATCCGGCTCGGTGAGCCTTGATTTCCATGCGTTCATCACGAGTTCACTTGATATGTCACTAAAGGTCACATTTTTTGGACAGTTTCAAGGTGACCAATACATTTCTTGAGAGGACATTCACATGGATTCACAGTTCTATCTGGAACTGAGTAGATTCGAGCTACGACATCGCGAGATTTCTGGATTCACGATATGTCTATCATACACGGTTAATAAGTTATAGACCGCTTTCATGTTCATCCTCGGCTGAGAAACCAATGTGCAGGGAGAGGTGACATCTGCTCCACCAAGTACTTTTCCCAAACAAACACTCATTCGCATATCCCGTTGCCCAAAGGAGCCTCTCATTAGTGGGTCACCATGTGTAATTCTGGTGAAAAGAAGGCTTGTGAAAGACGGATATGATCTGCGCAGTGTAGACAGGCAATATCTAAGGCCCAGCCTACAGTTGACGCGAAAACCCTCAACTCATTTTGTCATTTGTCTTTTTGTTCACGTTTGAAAGTGCGCTTGAACATTGGCACATACCCAAATAATCGAATATACCTGCTCTTAGAGGCCATGCACCCATTTGTTGACAATACTTCATTATTAAAATGTTTTGAGACTCCAAAAGCTTCTTTTCAAGCCGACACTGGTGTTCGCTCACACCGAACATTTCTTTAGGCAACAACTCCTCTTTGACTCGGCAACTGACGTAACCCAGGATTGCTCCACCAAAACGGGTCTGTTTGTGGCATGGGTATCAAAAACAATATAAAACAGTCGATTCACAGGATCAATATGATTTGCATCCATCATTCTTAAATTCTGATACAAATACCCGCCCTGAAGTAATCATGGAAGTGGATGTAATTACTCTCCCGGTACCCTTCGACGCGTCGCTCTCTCCCTCTCTCTCGAGCGATCGCAACGAATTGCATCTCAAGGCTCAGATCCACCAGGGCATCGGTGGGACACACATTCCTCCGGGCGGGCCCGAAATCGGGCCTTCCGAGCACGTGGCAACACACCACACACACTTGAGATTTTGCATACTGACTTGAAAGCGGTTTGCCACACGCCGGCCTAAGTGAAAAACCTAAGAAACCAGGGTTCAAAGTTACGAAAGTTAAAGCTCAACTCCAGACTCAAGTCACGAAAGGTGCATTAAGGACACTATCAAGGACGACGATGCCCTGCAGAGTCTGCCGACCTACCTCCACCTAAATAGCCTGAAAGTAGAGTGGGATGCAGCTACCAACATTCACAAATGGAGCAGGTACGTCACGGTGATCAGCCGTGATATCCGCAGGTACTGTGGCCGCTTCGTTGGACCATCGCGCACAGTACATGGATGGTCCCCCTGCTGTAAATGCCGACAAAGCAAAAACCGAAAGACAATCAAAAGGATCCTGTGATTCCAAGGGTTACACACACACACACTGGGAGCTAGGTGCTGCTGCGCTTTGTCAGGAGCCATGCGGGTCACTCGTTGTTTCCTGGGGATCTATATCATTCTATATCTGTATCTATAGCACAGTCTTTGGCATGATAAAATAACTTGGCTCCATAATCCAATCGCTGTGATGTGTTTGAATACTTACATCTATCATCTATGTTCATCCTTTCAATTTCCATTTGGGTGTGTATTAAACTAGGGAGACCTCCCAGGTGGCAACCCCCTGGAAGAAGGAAGACCAAAACCCCCTGGGCCAGGGAGTCTCCTTATTGAAATACCTCTTTTGCATTCAGCTCTTCCACCCGACACGTCTTCCACGTCTTCCACACCCGGCTCGGGAAGGCCACGTCTTCGCTTTCGAGGCTCCACTGGCGCTGCGCTTTGAAATCCATGGCCCAGCTTCGCCGCACCTGGTGAACAGGAAAATCGGGAAGCGCAGCTCTGATTTTGGCCTTTTCTTGGATGGGACTGGGTTTGCTCTGGGACAATATGGGACAATGCATCGACTGACTGACTGAAGGCAGGGTTTTGATACATCCTGCGTGTAGAAGCATTGTCTGCAACATAGATATTGGAGCACATGCACTGGGAATCACACATTAAAACCTTCCTATCTAATCTATGTAAATCTGTGTCTAGACATGTACATACATGTATGATTCGAGTTTCTCCACGGCGCTTTCTTAGACAAAACGATTGCAAAAAATGGATTGCCAAGGTGCGAGTTCAACAATGATAAGCAATAGACAAATACACAACATGATACAACATGTATCTATGTACACAAATATGGCCACTTTGTCATACAGCTCCAGATGTTATATATATTTTTAGTTCTATTTTGCATGGCTTCCAAACCCATCCAAACACTACACTACCATTTCTTGTCAAACCGTTCCCCAAAACAAGCAAACGACGTGTCCGCACCTGCTGTGACTCCTCGGGCCAGCGCCAGGAAGGCACGTCAAAGTCCAAGTCCTTCGTCGGGGGTGTGATGGAATTGGTCGACATGAACACTTCCGCTTGGAATCGGCGGACTTTAGTTAGACTGAACATAAATTAAAACCCTCTACACACATAGGAACCAAACCAATGTTGCGGATCACTGTAAGCAGGTTACATTCGATCGTCTGTCTAGATTGCCTTCGGGAAGTTTTGAAATTGGGTTCTGCAGAGTCAAGCCTTTCATTGATTTCTATGACAAAATAATACGCCAAAAGAGATTCAGCAAACATACAACAAAGTTGTAAACAAAAATAAGGACACCCAGATTCCTCATATCGTTTTTTTTTTTTTTTTTTAATGCTAAAGTCAATTCAACCGATTATAGAAACAATATGCTTGTTATATATATAACATAAAACATACACTAACAAAACAATTGCAACTGTGTGTTCAACAAATAGATCTAACAAAAATAAGTAGGTTTTGAATCTTGACATGCGTGTCTTTGTGTATTTGGTGCTGGCACTCACTCACTCAGTACACAGTTTGGTTGGTTGGCGCTTGCCTTGATTCAGTTCTATTGATAATACCAAGATACCAATGACAAGATACCAATGACACAGGGTTGATCCAAATGAGCCCGGGCATTTAGTAAAAACAGCCCAAGTAGAATCGGCATCCGCCAATGCCCTGAATGTAGATCCAAACAACCGAAGCAATCAGATCATTCCAAAGAAGAATGGGTTCAAGCCGGTCATCCAAACCACCATTTCCAATCGAAGGGCATGAGCCTGACTCCCGAGCCGTTTCCCTGGAAAATATGGGAACATAAAGGCTCATCAAATTTTCCACCTGTTCGTTTTGAGTGGGGCGTCCCCAATCCCATCAGAAAGGTTCTGCAGGTTCTCCACTATTCCTGGTCGACCAGTGTTGCCAAGGATCCACTTCCTGAGCAAAGTCGATCTCAATGGTTTTGGACACCTCAAGACCCGTTTGGCTGCAAGCGACGAGCAGCTAGGCAGCTGGTGGGAGTGTCTCGATCTTGAAATGACATGAACGCCACCATGTCATGGAATAGTGCCTGGCATCGGTATTTGTCCCCATACTTAGGTTCCTATGACCCTGGTGGTGGAGCCGCTCCTTACAACGCCATGGAGAATCAGATTTCGGGCATCCGCTTTGACGCTCTAGAAATCCAGAAAGCTCAAAGTGGAGGACTTGAAGAACAGGTCAAGGAGTCAAGGGCTCGATCCCTTGGTCAAAATGTCTGAAAATTACTGTATCCATTTTAGCGTCAAAGTCCAAACAGCTCAAAAGACATGGCTTAAAAAAGCAATTCCTGTTCCACCGCGGTGGTGCAACCGCACACAGCGGTCTCAGATGCCTCTCTCTTGGTCTTTCAGTCTTCAGAATGTGTGAAACCGAGGTCGAAGCCACATAGAGAAGAGCAGGGAGGGTCGGGCTGTGGGGTTTAGCTCCTAAGGTCCTAATTACAATGAAGCAACTGCTCCAATCAGTCGAAGCAATTTTGCTAAACGTCGTGCCTCATCCGTCTTGCTCTCTCGAGTGAACTGGAGATCGATATAGTCCGCCAGCTGGTTCATCAGAGCTTCCATGTCTTCCTCCAACGACTTCAACAAAACATCTGCAGCCGTCGAGTGATGTTAGAGTCGTTAGAGTGAGAGGTTAGAAATCCCTATCAAAATGGCGGCACCAAACCAACTTCGTGGTCACCAAGCTGCCCCAAGAAGTTCAACTTGTCCTCAAACGAGACCTCCCTGCATGAAAACTTGTCCATCTACCAAAAAAATAGCGCACCACTGAATCACCCCAAGAGCACAAAAAGGATACACTCAAAACTTTGTATAGAGACTGCTCTATGTTCGCTTGATCCGTGCAAAATGGTCACACTGTGTGTCGCCCGGCAGTGCCTCGAGATAGCCACGAAGCCCCAAGTCAAAAAGGGCATCGGCCAGTTTCCTTAGGGATCGACGCTCCATCGAAACACTTCGGATTCATCAGGCAAAATTTGTGTCACAGCTCCTGCCGGTTTGCTGAATGTTTGCTGAATATCTGCATGACTGTGATGCATGTACGACTTGCATCCAGTTTCCTAAGACTCCTAGTGACTAGGTACAGCAATTCCTTTGAGACTTTGGACATGTTTCAGTACCTGTTGGATACCCTATCTCCCACTCCCTGTACTCTTTCAGCACGAAAACAGCGAAACGAAAGAACATATGCACCTACTGGTCGGACTGGAAAAATACTCGCTTCTGGCTTCTGGTGACAAGAAAGATCCGAAGCAATGATACTGCACAAGTCGGGTCAAACGTCTGGATGATTCTGGATGTTTGAGAGACCCCTGTGGCTTAAGACTCAGAGTCTCTCCCACCAATTGGACTTTGCATGATACGGCAGATCCGCCTTAAAACAATCTAGAGGCATGCACAAAAACAATACTGCCGCCCAAAGTGCTCCGGCCTATACTTCACCCCGGCCTCCTGCCTAGTAGCGATGTCCTTTGCTCCTAGTAGGCTTCTTGTTCCTAGTAGTAATGCTAGGAGCTACGTACTAGTAGCGTCCTTGCTCCTAGTAGCGATGCCCTTTGTTCCTAGTGCGCACAAAAACAATACTGCCGCCCAAAGTGCTCCTATTCCTGGTTTCCTCCTAGGCTTCTGACTATGATTTCACCAAAAAAGGAAAGAATCAAAGGACGCAGTAAAATAAAACAAATCAAGAACGACCAAAAAGAGAGACTCAAGGTAAACTTAAAAAACACATTACAGTAAAACACAATTTAAATACACTACTTTATGTTAAAAAAGCAAAACTCAAGTGCAAAACTCAAGCTGGGGATCTTTGTTGCTGCAACGATAGCGGGTACTTGGGTGCTTGGCCAGTGGAGGCTCTGAAATTTACTCTTTCAGATTGTTTTTCCTTAAGTCTGGTTCCAAGTCCTCCTTTCTGGTTGAGTCTTCTGCTGAGTCTTGTAAAGTGCTTTTCTTCCTGCTTGTTTGCTTGTTATACATCATTGGATTTCTTGTATTTCGGGGTCATAATCCTCATATTGAAGGTTTTGTTCCTTTCTTGTTTGGATTATGGAATAGCAAAGGAACTGATGTCTTTGAGCGTGTATATAGTATAAATCCATATGTATATATATATATACATACATACATGACAAACACATACCAGGGACCCATGGAGACCCTCAAAGGCCAACCCCTCGTTTTGGTAAAACCACCCCACTGTTCACACGAGCGTAGCAATGTCCTGGGACTTGGCCTTCGCTTCATGATACTATGGCCCACAATCTGCGGTTTCAACGGGTTTTTCCCCAGCCAAGTGTCTGTGCTGGAATCAAGGTGGTGTAGGCACAGCTGCCCAAGCGCATGCGAACGCGTTGAGAGGCCAAGGGCGTCACACTCAGGGCGCTGCTCCTGAACTTTTTCGAACGGCACATCGCGGCCAATCCACGCAAATATAATATACCGCAATACACGTGAAATCAGGCATACGGCTTGCAAGAGATACTTGTTTCCAACGCAGTTTGGGCACTTTCCTCAACACTGTGTCTGGATCAGCTTCATTAAAATTCTAATTGAATCAGTCAGGAGCAGGCCTACCTAAAGCCTCCTTCGGCCGTGGCCGCCTTGTTGGTTGTGGTCACGTTGCTTGGTTGTGGCTGTGGTCCGTTTATTGGTTGCAGTACCAATGGATACCAAGCATGCCTCAAATACCTTAGTTCCTAGGACCCAAATGAAAGCTAGTCACTCTGAGTCGGAACAAGTGGCTGCTTGAGAAATGGATCCTGGAAGCTGACAAAGAGATGATCTCAATTTAAATGAAAACAACACATCAATGTTCGGGTGTTGTTGTTCTCTGAGAAAGTTGATGCGTCGGATTGCGTCCAACCAATGTTTGCGTCCAATCTCCTCATTGACAGGTTTCACAATTGAAACATCATTTTCTCCCCTCTCTTATGGGGAAGTGAACTTAATTGACTTGATGGTTATGCAGCATGCAGTACATGTTGATTGTGTACTGGATTCTCAAACATTCTCAAACTCTTCAATGGCCACAAGCAAATCAATGAATTAACCCCACAAATGACGTGGAAACAACACCAGCCCCAGTATATCCCGTACTTTGGGTTAACGGATCGAATGGAACAATCAAAACACCATTACAACGATTTTCGACCTTTGACTCAAAGAAAGCGCCCGAGTCAAGGGTATCGACTGCAGTCTTGACTGGTGAATACCTGACCTGACGTTGATCAACACACATATTCTGAGCATCCCTGGTATGTTGGGTTGGAGATGTGTTGATGTCCAAAATTTGTCCAGAAACGACATCGCAAAGCAACAGTGTTTGTTTGCACAGACATTTGCGTAATGCAAGAACAAAGCAACTTGCCATTCGCATCGTGTGGATGGCGTGGTGGGCGTGGTGGCGTGCACATTGTGCATATCACGCGCATGCTTCTTGCTACTAATAGCTTCTTGTTACTACTAGTAAGGCACTTGTTACTAGTAGCGATGCACTTGTTACTAGTAGCTTCTTTTCATATCACGAATCACGTGCAGGTATTGCAGCATTTGATGGAGTGCCTGTCCTCCGACTACTCGAGTTTCGACGCCGGCGAGAGCTGCCACGTGCCAGGCTGCTTTTGTTCTTTTTGCTCACCTGAGGGCAAAGTGTCGTTTTGACACTTAGCATGCAATGTCATCTCTGATTGGCATTGCAACGGGCCTGTTGAACGGCTTGAACCCTGAAAGTATGTTGCGAGCAGGACAGGAGCAAGCCCGACCCGTCTGTCTTTGTAATGGACTCCTATTGAAACTGACACTCGCTCTCAAAAGTTCTTTAAGACCATTTGAGACCCTACTGAAACACTCATCAAACCTCTCAGGCCACACAACCCCTGCGCATCCTCACATGCTTCCCATGGTTCCCACCACCTGTAGAAGCCCAAGGCACGCTGCGGGGGATGCGGTCGGGGGTCGATTCCTCCACCGGGCCATAGCTGTCGAGCAACCGCTCCGAGCACCGCGTCGGGTCCTCAGCGTTCGGCTCCGGTGTGCTCCGGTTTGCCGGGAGGTTTCAGAGAGCTCAACAGCTGCCGGCTTTTTTGGGAACGCACCTGAGGGGCTGGAGCATGTAATCCTGAGACTTGTTCGTTTCTTTCGCATCAAAGCATATGAAAACAGTGAAAGGCTTTGACAGTACGCAACAGATTCGTAATTTTGAAAGACATGATTCCTCATGTTGCCTTTGCAAGCTTTTCCATAATAGATGCGAGCAGTAAAATCAAAGCACCAACATGCTCCAACATATATGTTGAAATGGCAAATCAGGTCCCGCTGAGCTTGCGTTCTAAATTATGCGGTTGTTGGTTGCCAATGGACTCCTTCGCTTTCCCTGGAAAATAATGTTATAACCTTTCTCACACTTTGTCCACCTTTTCGTTTTGAGTGGGGAGCCCAGTCCTCGACAGGGTAGGTCAATAACTGCCGTCGTTCTTATCCGCCGTTTTTGCTGCTTCGAGCCGTCACACGGAACGCGGGTCGTCTGAGTGCATCACTGGCAGAGTCAACTCCACATCGGGACCCTCGAAGACTTCCTGCAGAGGCTCCCAAAAGATCCCAATTGAGGAATTTCGGTGAGGATCAGGCAAAGTTGCTGAGGCCAGAGGCGGCCACAGGCCAAAGAAAAAGACCTTTACGACTTCTGTTTGCATCTGAACATGATATCCGGACCGTTGGAGGTGGTCCTGGCCTACTTGATCGGACACCGAAACATTGTAGGGAAGCATTGGAAGCAACAAATCACATGCACAGATTAAGTTGCACTTGTCAACGACATAGATCTAAAAATGCAGTGGGAATTCACATCTTATTTTATATATATATATATGGGAGTTGATCTAAATTCCTTTATCCGGGATCCGTCATCTTCGCCAAAAATTAATGTACTTTAGCCAAACTTTTGCCTTCCTGCGTTTTATCTTTCGCCGAAGTATGTTGTATTTATGTGTGCCATGTATGTTGTGTTTTGTTCACGTCAATGGTTTCTTCTTTACTGGCAAACACAAAATAGAAACTTCACTGGTTGTCAGCATGTGTCTTCTGCTTAACTGTTGACACCCTGTACGTCTCTTTTGTTTCTCCTGGGTGTCAGCAAGAATCAAAATTGCAAGAATCACAGTAGTAGCCGGTCACTCAAACTTACTCATAATGGGCTGGGGGTCAGATGTGGCAGGGTGAACTTTGGCCAATCTTGAGCTGAACTTTCGCCAAACTTTCGCCTTTTGCGGGGTAGAGTTTTGTGGCAAAGCCACCCCCCAAAGCAGGAGCAGGAGCAGGAGTAGTAGTAGTAGTAGTCGTAGTCGTAGTAGTAGTAGTAGTAGTAGTAGTAGTAGTAGTAGTAGTAGTAGTAGTAGTAGTGGTAGTTGTGGTAGTAGTAGTAGTAGTGGTGGTGGTGGTGGTAGTAGTAGGAGCCGCAGCAGCAGCAGCAGGTTGTCTAACTTCCACAGCTCATCTAAGTTCTGAGTCACTGCCACCAGCTGTTCAGGAAGCAAATGAACGTTCATACAAAAGTACATATTTAATCTTTCGCCAGATCTTTCGCCAAACAATAATTAACTTTCGCCAACTCGAGAAAAAACTTTCGCCAAATGAGATTTTGATATGTTCCGGGTCATCGTCATACACAATGCTGTCTAGGACCTTTAGATCGACAACCATATATACACCTAGAAAGCAAAACTGTCAACCACCTGGTTGAATTGCAAAAGAACCGTTTTGCTGGGCCCTCGTCGTTCTTCGCTGTGGGAGGTTCTGGGAAATTTTGGCCAAAAACCATGGATGTCCTGTAGATTTCCCTTGAACCAATTCTGGGCTTGACATCCGAAGGAATTAGACAGACCAATTTTGTGTTTCGTTGTGTCTTCACCCGTCTCGAGGCATGGCGTTTGCTGCCTCCTTCACTGGTGGCTCCTCGGCCTCCACCATCTGCGGCCTGTGGCAGGTTGGACCGACCTGAGAGCCTCAGGTTTTTGGAACGATTGTAATGCAGTGATGTTTCCAAATGCATCCAAATGCTTCAATCCTTGCGTCAAGCAATCAGGACTTGGAATGAACGGATTGTAGTTGAAGATTTGCTAAGAAACTCCCAGACTCCCTGTAGCTGGGCTCCTTGTGGCTCCGTTGCTCCTTGACTCAACTCATGTGCCTGGTTTATGGCAGTCTATATTTGCACTTAGGATCCAAAAAAAAGAAAATAGCTTTTTGTTACTACTAGTAAGGCACTTGTTACTACTAGCGTTGCACTTGTTACTAATAGCCTGGTCTGCATTTAGGATCCGTCCTACAATATAATTCTGCTTTGTGACCGTCTCACATGTGAGCAAGTAGTGGGAAAACATCCGGCATGTGGTAACGAATGTTCAATGCTTGCCTATTCCAATTCTTCCTAAATGTACACTAGCAATCACTAGCATCTGGTTTTCGGTGTGGCTGAAGTCATATGTTTCTAATCATGAACTTGGGCTAAAAGATCGGGCCTTGCAACACACACGCATGGACTCTTCATTGCAAGCCCACCATAAAAGTAAATGAACAAATACATTAAATACACACACACAACCGACTGTCTTTGTCCGAAGTCTTTTGATTACACGACCCAACTCCTGATCCCATCGCCACCAAATGGCCCGACCGCACCACACCCAAACACTCCAGGACACTGGCATACAGTATCTACATAACATTGAGGTGGTTGACCAGAATTCACTTTCAGTCCCACCGGTCCAGGCCTGATGGACAAAATCTTCGGAGTTTCGAGGCTTGGATGACAGAAGGGTTCTTTCACCTCAGCCGTGGTAGCCGTGGTTGGTGTGACCGGAGCTCGCAAAAGGGAGGCCAAAGAATACCAAGCAAGTTTTCCCTTGTCATGTGAAGACATGGAACGCTTCGTTTCCTGGTTCGGGTGTGTGTGTGTGTTGTGTGTGTGTTGTAATTTGCCAAAGAAGGGTTTGGGAAGATCAAATGGGCATCTTGTATCTTTAGAGGGAGACACATCTAGGATTGTAGGTATTGCCTCCAAAAAACATGGTTTCAAATGCATTTTAGAAGGGGGTTGATGTCATTGGGTTGCCAGTTGCCATGAACATATTTGTTAGATGCTGATAGCTGTTGATGCTATCAACTTCCCATGTCAAAACACACCTGGACCCAGAGTGCTTGTCTAAAAAAACTGGACACTTCTGTCTAAACCTATTGTCCGCTTTGTGTTCTCGTGCAATTTTCCGTGCTATAAGCTGGAGGGTCCAGGTACTACAATGCGAATAAGGACCTTACAAAGACACAAACACCAGCCAAATGTGACCAATATGTTCATTACACACACATGTATATAGTGAATATAAATATAATATCATACATATAATATGATTTAGCAAGTATACGTCTTGAATGATATTAAATATGTATACGCATACATGCCTTTGAAGCAGCATGGAAAGTCTCTGACCTCGTGGAACCACAGCCACTGGGCCCCGAGCATCGCTCAATGTGGGGCGATCTCCCAACTCCTGAGTTCGAGCTCGATCAAAGTCGAGTGGAGCCCAACGCACAGGCTGGGCACAACGTCAAAAGTGCTCAAATGCAGAAGCACGAGAAAAAGTGTGTGTTTAAACGAGGCAAAAGCAGAAGGAAGAGGAATGATCGCGGATGAGTGTATGCGGATGCTGAGTGGAGATGTGGAGTACGAGTGAGTCAGTGAGATTGAGAGTGTGGCAGTGTGAGCGAGCAAGGGGCGGGCGACGGGCGACGGGATGCAAATAAAAGTAAAGGCCCCACACAAAAACGCTATTTGGGAACAAGTGCATCGCTACTAGTAACAAGTGCCTTACTACTAGGAACAAGAAGCTATTAGAAACAAGAACTATTTGATTTCTATTCGCAGAATGGAGGCCATCGTTAGTAGGTTGGAGATGGTTGGAGGCCTGTTGGGATTCTTGGGGTTCATGTGCAGTGGTGCCAAGGTGTCCACAGGGCGATTTCGGCAGATCCAAAAATAACTCTCAAAGTTCTCACACCGTTGAAGAAGTCTTCGCAATACATCTGCATGGTAGGACACACGAATGTGAGAAGTGTACGAACGAAAGAATTGCAGGACCTACCAAATTACCTTTGACATCCTTTTTACTGCTAGCAGCATTTGTCCTTCAACATGTTCCCTCAGCCAGTGTCTTGCGTCGTTGAAAAGATCAGGGAACCTCCTGAATCAGCTTTTGAATTTACCAAATCGTGGCGGATCCTGCTCCAAACTCGCAATCCGTGCTCGCAAGCCAGAGATGTTCTCATCAGAGGAGTGCTCGTAGGCCTCAACGGTCTTTTGCTGTGTGGCCATGGGACAAATAACAAAACATATTGCCCGGGAAAGCATAAATGTTGGTCTTCGTTCCTTTTGCGGGTAGGGGTTGCAAGGGCAACAGCAACCCAAACAACAAGGTCTTTGAAGAGCATTGAAGAGCTTTCCGCTTTCAATATCATTCGATACAACTCACTAGTAGCTTGGATGCTGGTGAAAAACAGCTGTGAAACAATGCATTCAGAACATACTCCCTTGTCTGAAATATCAGGACATCGTCAGTCGTGAGGGACATGAAGGCCATTTGGATTGATGATTTGAGTGTGTTTTGAAACCGGGAGACCTACCAAAGACCCATTGATTCGAGTAGGGTCTCCCTGTCCTCTCAAACACACCCATTGGATTTTGATAAGTCCCTTCGGAGATGTTGTTCTGACCCCCAAATCCGCCTGCCGCTTGACATCACAAAGATGACTTCACACTTCGGTTCAACATGAACAAGGGGCCGTTTCAGCTCGTTTCATAACTGGAAAACAAAACGCCTCGTTTTCGTAGAACATCCGAAGCCTCGGAGTCTTGGAGTTGACATTCCCGTCTTGGAGTCTTGGAGTCTCCGTTCAGTCGGTTCTCACATGGATTGCCCCACGTTCTCGCATCCTCAGCGAAATCCACGTCCAGGCGTTTCATCTACACATGTTTTTGTTTCAACGTGATTGAAAGAACCAACAATCTGCGATGAACTCAACAGTTGCCTGGCTGAACACTTGGACTAGTTGATGCCTAATGCGTTTGATTGCGTTTGCATTTCTTCATATTTCTTCCATCGTGTTTGTGTTGGAAGCTGTCATGCGTCTGGCCTCCAGCATCTCTAGCCTGAAGGCACTCCACACGGCATCCATCCGAGTCTCGAAGGTGCCCGGCATGGCAGACCGGTTTGGCCGGAAGAGCCCAACTTGAGGGCGGAGTCTTTCACCGGAGTATGGCACGTCCTAGTGGCCTCCAGTCTAATAGCAAGGGAACCTAATAGCAATGGCCTCCTACATCTGCTTGGAGACCTCATCTATCCACTCAGAGCTACTTGATGGTCTCGGCAAAGAACATTGAACAATCAGGGCAATCGCTGGCAAATGGGATGGAACACTTTCACAGCACCACCCAGCTTCAGTTTGGCTGTAAGCTAAGTTTCGGCCTTGTCAATCCGAAAGAGCCCAAATGCTGCCACGGCAACAATCTCCAACGCAACAACACACGCATCTTTAAAAAGGGACGTTCCAATCGAGGGTGATGTTCCAATCGAGGGTGATGGTCATAGGCAAATAAAAAACAAGACAGGTACCTGTGATGGATGGCAGCACCGACAGAGGTCACCAAGTCTGGTACAAATCCACATGAACTACAACACACGTGCGCAAGGAAAATCTAGTTCTAAAACCGGAGTAACCCATTGATCTGATCAAAGTGGTGGCAAACAATATTCTGCAGAACAAATTTATCGACAATGATCAAATCTTCCTGAACGCCCAGGACCTCCTGACACACCATGACACCAAACACACACAAAAATGAATCGGGACATCCGCGGATGGCAAATAGAGATGTCTTCAAAATCTAAAAGGACCATGGCGGCATGCGATAAACATGCTTGTTCAAATTGCATTTCTGTTCAAATTCAACATGATTCAACTAACCCAGAACGCGCGCCTCCTCTGTGGTGAGTATGTAGAAGACTGTTCCACGCCTTTGTGGGGGCCAGTGACCATGAGATGTAAACAGTTCGTTGTAATAATCCAATTAAATCCTCCCCGAATCAAAAAACCTGGACTGGTGACTGAACAATTCCACCACTGCAACACGATTTCACCACAACATTTGTGGAATGTTTTGAAGCGTTAAAACATGTTAAATCCAAAGATTTGGCGAAGAAACGGTGGCACCAAACCGAAAGTTCGAGTGTGACACGCGGTGGTCACAGCAAGAAACCATTACGTTGGATGTTTTGTGACTTAAGCGCTGGGCGAAGGAAGCAGTCTCTCACGCAAGACTGGCGCGGCAGCAGATCCTCAGCGAATGATACGAGTAGCAAGTTTGTGACTGCGCAGTTTTACTTGCAATACTTGTCTGTGGATGCCTTCATAGAAGTGATGGAACTGAGCATCTCATATTGGTCCAGGCAAGCTCTCACACCCAACCTTGCCCTACAGATTTCGCGCTAAAGCAGAAATATTTCGTTGCAGTCCAGGACAATGACCAAACATCTGCACGGACAGGCACAAAAGGGCCCGTAAGTGCCAGACGGAACCGGGCAACGCCATTCTGAATGGCAAAGCCACAGAAGCCTTCCTCAGCAGAGAAATGGTGGGAGTAGGGGCTTCAGGCGTCTTCAATGAAACTAATTAAGCATAAGCACCTGCCTGTCCAGCTGCTTGGGAAAGGTTTTGTACGAACAAAGGGCATCGCTACTAGGAGCAATGACGCTACTAGGGGCTCCTGGCCATACTACTAGGAACAAGAATGCTAGGAACAAAGGGCATCGCGACTAGG